CCGGTTCTACAGCTGTCCAAAAACAGCCAAATTCGAAAATTTGGACTGCTCTAGCTCGTGACAAAATTAATTTTGAGGGTTAATTTTTGTGGATTCTGCATGTGCTCATCGTGCTCTTTCCAGTGATATATAATTTCATATTTTATGTCTGGCTTCAACTTCCGCTTCACATGTTGATGTTTCTATAAATTTTTTACAAATGTCTAGAAAACTCGCGATGGTTACAGGACCTATTAAAACAAGTAGTATAAAAATCAAAATGCAGAACCATAAATAGAATAAAGCTCTAAAGGTTCGATAGGGCTAACATTTCTAAAGCTTGTCTCATTATCGTCCTCTCTGGGAAGTATTGGTGAATTCTTGTGTTCTGTCTCTATCACTATCCTCGTCCGTCATTGTCTGCCGTATCGATCGTATCATTTTCTGACTTTCTGCATGGTAGAATGATTTGTCTTGTTCGTCATCAGGAGCGCTATCAACTGTTCTACCAGATAGCCTTTTTTTAAAAAAAACCTTTTGCAGTATTTTATCTTTCAAAACCCTTGGCAACCAATATGTATATTTGTACTCCGCAACAAATTTGGGATTAAATCTTTGGTAGAGGACGCCCCAGTGGCACGGGGTTAAGAAAAGGTCCACCGCCCCCCATTGCGTGTCGTAAGAGGCGACTGAATTGGGGCTCCTCATTTGCCTTGAGGTGCGACCCGTGTCGGTTTTGAATGGACACCTGGTGGTTGAGGGTAACATACTTTCCAATACATCACTTTGGGCCAGGGGATAACATACTTTCCAATACATCACTTTGGGCCAGGGGATTCCTAGACGGGTGGCCAGTGTGGCCCACACTGGTCAATCGGCTAGTCGTGTTGAGCCTATGAGTCAGTGGTCAGAACAGATTCAATTTTTTCTTGTAATAGTTAGTATCTTTTTTCTTCCAAATCATTTCACTGACTCAGAAGCAGCGGCTTGGGTCAATTGGGTAAAAAAATAAAAATAAAAGTTCGGAATTTATTTGCTCCACCCAGAACTTTTATTCTTTTTTTTTTGTCTAAGTATATCTCCCGATTACCCCTAGGGCGCCGGCGCTGGAGTCCCGCGTAAAGCCCGCGCGGATTTCGTGGTCCGTGTTGGTCGGGGGTTTCGGGAGATGAATCCTTCAATATTTCTTCATGGCTACACAAACCAACAAAAACTTAAGCGACCGACCTAATTTACCATCCGAAATAAAAGTAGGCTATCTGAACATTAAAGTTTCACCATATACACCAAATCCTCTCAGATGTTACAACTGTCAACGCTTCGGGCATGGAACTCGAACTTGTAAGAGTTCGATTCGGTCTGCGCGTTGTGGTCAGTCTGAGCATGACAACAAGG